GGTTCCAGGCACAGTGGCGTTCAGAGAGAGACCATGTTTGATATGACTGGAGGCTGGGGAGAGTATGCAAAGATCTCTCTTCTCCAGGCCTATGTATTTCAACTCAAAGAAAGCACTTACATCTGGACAGCTGAAGACATCTCTTTACCATACCAGTAAGGTGTGAATTCTCCATCCAGCCCTAGATCTTGGCCTGAGGCGCTCTAGGACCTAGGCTGCACCTGGCTCTTATGGGTGTGACTATTGCTGACACCTGCTCTTCAGGATACAGACACTCCAGGACCTCTCTTCCCCAGCAAACGCCTCCCCTCCCTCTGCCCCCTCCCTGCCTTCTTTACCTGCAGGGGTAACAGGTTGGATTGGGACCCATAGACTAGCACATTCTCCATGGGGAGACAGGGGTTTCTCTCAAAGGTACACAAGCCCTAGCTCCTGGCATCCCATGTTCCTTAGGACTCTAGAACCTTCTCCAGAAACTCTGGAAGGTTCCTGCCACCTTTTCCCCTGCCACTCACAGGTAGTTGGTTAAGAAATCTTAGCTTGATCCCTAAAACATATTCACACTTTCCCAGCCTCCATCTTGGGCCAGACACTATTCTTGCCAGCAGCTACAGGGACCCTGTGAAAACTACCCTGACTGTGGTCTTACCTTGCTCAGTACCTCTGTGGCTCCTCCTCCCTGGAGTAAGAACCAAAGTCCTTCCAGGACCCCAAGCCCCCTTCCCCAAGGCTGTTGCTCCCTTAGGACTCACCTTTCCCCTCAGTGCCCCCTAATTTTTCGTCCTAGTCCCTTGAGACCTGGCAAATCCTTGGTTGGGTCATTGTTGCAAGCACGTACCTACCACAGGACCTTTGCTTAGACTTTCCTTCCAGACATTTGCATGGCTCCTCTCTCACTTCCTTCAGGGTTTTGTTCAAAAGCCATCTCTTCAGTCAGACTCCCCCTCATTGTCCCATAGCCCTTGTCAACACTGAATACACCACGCATTATGCTGACTGAGTTGGGGGTCTCTCTTCCCACAACCAGGGCTGGTTTCCTGTCTGGCTCATTGCTGAGGTTGGGTAGGAGCTACACATTCGAGTACACACAAATATGTCGCATTTCACGGGGAAAAGAGACCCTGTTTCCTGGGGGAATTAGCTGCCACGTAAGCCATTGGTGGCTTTGGGGGGGGACACAGTAGAGCCTGGCATTCTCTTGTTATCTCCTGTAGAAGTTACTTTTTCAAATGCCTGACATACACATACAAACAACAAAAGGAAAACTTCAAATACCTGACATATTAAAGGAGGAACGCCCACCTACAAGGCAGGAAGTCATGAAACTCCTGCTTTCAGCAAGAGAATGAAAACAGTTTGCCACCCGGGGTCCACAGTCGGGGAGCAGCAGCATGAGGAATGCTGGTGTGCACTTCCTCGCCACATGAGGTCTGAGACCTCAGCACAACGAACGGTGTCCCTCCTATCTGGGGGGGAGCCTGACCAATTAGCCTCTCGTACAGGATCACTCATAGACATGCCCAGAAGTTTGTTTCCACGATCATCTGAAATCCCTTCAAGCTGATGATCAAGATATCCTATTCCCTTTTCTCTCCCCTTTCTTCATTTCCTGTTTTAATCTAGGTCCCAGATGCAAGCTTTGTAGTCAAATGACTTGAGCTGTAATGCTTTCTCGAGTGCTGAGCCAGCCTGCATTCCCACCAGCCCTTAGAAAGACGGCTGGCTGTATGGCTTTGGGCAAACGACTTAACATCTTGGTATCTCAATTCCCACTTCTGAAAAATGACAGAAGAACAAATCTTGGAGACACCCCTAGACTTCAAGACATACTGTATCACAGGTAACATCAAGTCTCTGCGGCCATGGTGAAGGACAAGCCAACACATCAATGAAACACAACCAAGAACCGGTAGATAAACCCACAGAATGCTGTCAACCATCCATTCACAGAGGGGCAAAGGTGCCGTGATGGAGAAAATATGAAAGTCATGTTGGGCGGGCAAGTGCCAGCAGTGACTCTGCACAGGACTCAAGCTTGACATAAAGGCTAATTCATAAAAGATTATAGATGGGAGCATAGAGAGCAAAATTACAGAACTCCAGAGAAAATTTAAACAGCACTGATCACGATAGAAAATATTTGCAGAATCGATATCCAATAAAAGACTGTTGCCCAAGGACTGAGGCTGAAGCTCAGAGGTAAGTACTTACTTGCCTAGCTTGCACAAGCCCCAGCTTGGGTGGGGGGAGGGTTATACATAAACAATATCTATAAATATAAATACTAATGAAGATAAAACTTTATTAACAAAATAGACCAAACACCCAAATAAGCACTGTACTTAAGAAGAAATGAGAGCCAGGCTGTGGTTGGCTCACATCTTTAATCCTAGCACTCGGGAGGCAGAGGCAGGTGGATCTCTAGGACAGACACAGCTACACAGGGGAAACCTGTCTTGAAAAACCAAAAACAAGAGATAAAAATGGCAAATGACCTGTAGGAAGATACTCATTAGGGAAATGCAGTTTAAAAGACAGTGGGGGTAGCATTACATGCCTATTAGATTGACCAAAATCTGGACTGAGGAGATGGCTCAGTGGCCAAAAGCACTGGCTGCACAAGCGTGAGGACCTGAGTCCAAAGCTCTTGCACTCTCTGGGGTGGAGGCAGTAGACAGGTTAGGGAGCGACTTTGTCTTCAAGGGAACGGGGTGAAGCATGGTGGAGTAGGGTACCCAATGTCCTCCTCTGGCCTCTCTGCACGCACAACTGTGCACACTCACCAGCATGTGCACATAAGCCACACAAACTTAGTTTGCTTTCTAAGTCTGTGATAAAGACCATGACTAGAGGAAACCCGGGGAAGAAATGGTTTGTTTGACTTATACTTCTATATCAAGGGAAGTCAGGGCAGGAACTCAAGGCAGAACCCTGGAGGCGAGAACTGAGGCAGAGGCTCTAGAGGGATGCTGCTGATTTGTTCCTTATGGCTTGCTCAGCTTGCTTTTCTATATGACTCAGAACCACCTTCCCAGGGGTGGTACCACCCACAACAGACTAGGCCTTCCACCATTACTCATTTCAAATAGTATCCAAGGTCACATGCACAGATGGCTGGGGCGAGGGGGTGGTGTATGCTTCAGGTCTGTGTCTCAGGTATTACACTCGGGGTGGCTGAAACAAAGCCTGCCACCTTTCTACACGCATTGTGCCATTTCTTATTCCAGTTTTCTTCTTCAAAATGTGGATCACATCCTCCAAATGGACTTTTCACTCATTAGCAGGCCATAAATCTGTAGTTGGAACCCACAGGATGAGCTTAGACCATGGGTACCTGACCCCAGCACCTGTTCTCCACCCCAGCCCACTCTCAGCCCTCCCTTTCCTAGTTTCTTCCCTCCAAACTGGACCAGCTGCGGGCATGACCCAATCTTCTTCCCACATGTGAGCAGACAGCTTCAGGGAAGCTCAGGGCTGGGGAGCTGAAGGAGCTGGGGAGGGAGGGTTGCCCACGCTCCGTAGTGGAGATCATTAGGATGCAGCAGGCAGAGGAGCCTCAGCTAGGCTGAGCTTTCATTTCCAAAGGCTGAGCTAGGGGCCGGGAGATTGCACAGATAGGGGGATGCTATGTGGCTCAAGGCTAACACTATTTCTGCTTGGCTAGTAGCCAAGCTCCTTAACCCTTGCTGATGCTGGTGCCTGGGAGACAACCCACAAGGAGGTGGGTCCTGTGATGTGGAAAGTGGCAATGGGATGGTGTGCTTAATAATTCAAATAATTTGTTCTCATATACCTCTTTCTCTGCATCGTATCTGATCCAGCCCAGGTCATGGGAAGATTACTATCCCAGAACATCACATTTTATGGATGAAGACCTGGAGACTCAAGACACCAAAAGTGGTTTGCCCAGTCTCAGTGCAGCTGGGAGGGAGAGTGCAGAGAGTGGCTTTACTTTATGAAAGAGATACTCAAGGATCTTGGGTGAGAGGCATCAGGGACCTCAGCATCCAGGAGCCTTGAATTCATGGTGTGTCTTGATGGCCTTGGGTAGACATGCTGGGCTTCTGGTTGAACAGCCTCCTCCAGTTTCAGTTCACTCTGGGATGAAAGCCTTGATGGATGTCATTCTGCTTAGGACTCCACACCACTGGTCCTGCATCTTGGTACTAGGCATTTTGTGGTAAGAAAGTGGCTTCATATTTTTATCTAGTTATCACATGGGTCTGATGTTTGTGCGTTGATTCTGTTGGCTTTCTAGATAGATAATGGAATCACCTGCATCAACTCAGTTTGCTCCTTTCCTCTCACGTCCTCCCCCCACACTTTCTTTGTGTAGAGGGCTCAGGTGTCCAGGGCATTTTGTCAGTGGTGGTGCTGGTGGTAGCCTTGTCTTCTGTCTAACCTCACTGGCAATACATTTAAAGAGTCACTATGAAGAAAGTGTTTGCTGGAGGTTTTCCTCATCAGCCTTTTGAAGTTAAGATGTTGATCTTCTATTTTTGGTTTGCTATGGTTGTATTTGCTATATTTCTTCACCAGTGTGGTTAGTCAGCATTTGGTTTCTTTAGTCTATTACATGGGGAGTGATGTTGACTAGTGTTTGATGCTTTGTATCTTTAGGAAAAACCTTACTTGGACATAATGCACATTTTGAAATTTCCCAGCCTTTTCTAAAATGGCCCCAAATGTAATTCTGCCACTTTATGTAATGTGGCATTCTTAGCACTGATGATTATAAAATCAGAATGACTATCAACTCTGCAAAGTGGCAAGATGCTCTAACTTTTATAGCATTAAATATTCGGCAAGATTTAATTCCTTACATAAAGTACATAAGTGCATTCATTGCATAAGGATGCAAATTTGCTTTCGTCCTTAGTAAATGGAAAATCATAGGTATATCAAAGAATGGCTTTAAAATAAATTTATTATTTATTATTAGTAAATATCTGATTTGCATACCTGTTTTACATACCTATATGCCCAGGATTATGCAGAAATTTCTTGTACTAAGTGAGAAAAGTTTAAGAAGCCCTGCTCTAATCAACAGAGTTTACAGCTCAGACACCTAGCAGCCTGCTTTGTGCAAGCCATTGTGGAAGAAAGCCTACCTCTCTCTCCTGTCATTTCCATGGGGAAGGATTTCCTCCTTCTTGTCCTCCTCCTCCTCCTCCTTATCCTGCTCCTCCAGGAGTGATCTGATGGTGCTGCCCTGGACATTCACTGCCTGCTCTGCTAGTGGGAGGTGGTCCTGTTCATAGGCAGCCCTCCAGGGTGATGAGCACCCTGCTGAGGACACTGCAGAGGACCAGGACCTGCCCTGCCTCTGTTCCTGTGCGCACAGCACTGACTGCTTAGCATATTCGCTTGAGCACAGCAGAGCATACAGCCTGAAGGTCAGAGAGGCACAGGTCAGAGGCTTCATTGCAGACTCTATCCTAAGCAGAGGCCTTGGTTCTGACCTTCATCAGGCTGGAGGATGTGAGGATAGAACAGAACTTTTGCCCCTTGTCTTCTTTCTTTTATCTGTCTTTGTGTTTGGAGGGGAAGGATGGGGGGATGCTTAGAGCTCTAAACCCCGTAACAAACCTCAAGGCCTGAAAATATCAACATATGCAACTTAAGAACAGGGCAGGCCACTTCAAATACACTTCTAGGGGAAGAAACACATGACTCAAAAAATGTCTTTGAAAGCTACAAAACAAAATGAAAAAAAAAAAACAAACAAAATACTAAGCTGTGGCAAATTCAGATTGAAAAAGCAAGAAACACAAATGATTACTGCCTGTTTGGGACCTAGACTACTCTAGGCACAAAGGCCAAGGCAGACCCTCCACACTCCTTGCTATGGGAACACAGCTCTTACCAACTACACAGCGGTGAGAGATCCAGCTCTCTCAGAGGTAAGGACAAAGTATCACCCCAGAAGACAGTTGCCTGGGCCCCTGGATGTTGGTAAGGATATCCCAGGCCCATGCACTCAGAAAAAGGAGAATCTAGTCCAGCCATGTGTTCTATTGCTGAGCTAAATGGTGATGAGAGCCTGCAAGGTGTCTGCTGGACTCTGGCCTTCGGCCCACTCCTCCTCTTCAGCTTTGTCTCTCACTTTCTTCGTCGTCCCTTTCTGCCCCTCCTTCCTTCTCATTCCTGCCTGCTTCCTCATTTTTTTTCACCACTCCCTCAGTCTCTTTTCCGTTTCCGTGTCCCTCTTCTTTCTCATCTTCTTTCTACCAGAAGTCTTTCCCACTTGACAGAGGGTGAGATACACCATCCAGACCCTTCTGAGACTCCCCAGGGTTGCTGAGTGGTTGAGCAGGCAGGCCCTGGACCACGAGACCTTTGTTCACCAGAATGGCAGATTCAGGCTTACTCCTGGACACAGAGGAAGCTCTGAGTTGGAGGTAGCAAGTTTCCAAGAACACGGCCTGAAACTAGTTGGGGAGGCCTCGGGCCTTCTTGGAGTCAAAGCTGGGCCTTTCCCACCCACCACTGCCTCACCCAGATGCTGGAGGCATACACATTTATTGAAGGGTGGTGGGAGACCAGGAAGTAGGACTGGGTGTAGGGAGGGCATCGCTGGTCCTTCCAGTATCACTTCTTAGACTTTTTCCAGCTACTTATCTTCTTACTGCTCCTCCTATTCTTGATGAAAGGCTGCAGCAGTTCTTCTTCAGGCTGTTTCAACCTAAATACGCAATAGGAAGAAGCAGGCATTGGGCAAGGAGCAAGCAGGGCATGGCCCACATGATGCGGGCATGGCCCTGGAGGGAAGAGTGCCAGGGGACATCTCCAACTTGGGGGACCAGTGGCACCATTAGTTTAATTTTAGCACTTTTCCATCTTTCTGGAAAGAGTCACACTACAGAATTTTGATTTGGTTCCCTGTCACCATCACTAAGGAACTTGCTGGAGTCGGGGATGGCCTCCATCCTTCTGACAGATGGGCCCAGACTGTGGGGCCTTGCTGCAAAGTGTTATATCCTAGTGACCAACCCTGACACCCAATGGGATACTGCAAAACAGGCTGGAAATCAGGGGCTGACCTGTACCTTGGAAGGACACAGATTTGGAAGGCACAGAAGCCATGCCATGGTAGCCTTAGTGGCCCGTGATTAAGCTAGATATCCTATAATGAGCCATTCCTAATCTGCCAACCAGAGACATAGGGAAAACATACTTGTCAGGGGGGGTAGAAGGGGTTTTTTCCATTTTGTCCCCAAGCGCCAACGAAGAGACACTTCCTTCGAAATCTTCAGATGGGGGTCTTTTAGATGACTCAGAATCTTCCAGGCTTGTGGTATAGGTTGGCACGCTGCAGGGAGGGGTGGTAGGAAGACACAGTATAGGGGAACAGAGGTGAGAGTCTAGGTTTCACTCAGTGCTATACCACCCCTATCCCAGCCCTAGACAGGCCAGCAAAATACTTTGCACCCATTTGTGCCAAGGGAGAAACTGTCTGTTCTGGGAACCTGGAAAACCTTGGCTTCTATATAGGACTGCATAGCCCTCGTTCCCATGCCACCAGCTACCTGGTCCATGCTACCCATAGGCAATGCCCACAGGATATAGAGGTGTTGCAAAGCAGAAAAGGAGAGGTCAAGGAAATGATGCCATCATGTAATGCCGTGGACCCAAATTCATATGCAGAAGTTCTAACCCCAGAACCCTGGCATCAGTATAGATATAATTGGTTGTGATGCAGTCATTCTGGAGTGACTAGTGCCACATATCAAAGTAATGCTGTCACCAAAGCCAAATAGAGGCTAGAATGTGACTTGAGAGGGACTATGGTCCTCTGGTACCTGATCCAATTTCCAGTCCTCAGAACTGAGACGATGCGCAGATGCTGCTTATTCCACTCAGTGTGGCTATTCTGGTTGCTCTAAAAGTGCTGTGCTGTGCCTACATGGCAAACAGATCACAGACATGAACTACACTCAGTTCTCAAAACAGACAGGCAGTCCACCATCAAGGTGCCAGGAGATTGAGTGCCCGGTGGCACTCATGGATGATATCCTCATGGATGGCAGCCTCTCACTGCTCTCACACGGCAGAAGGGGTAAGCTGGCTTCTAGGTATTAACTCCACTCATAGTCTCTGTACGTGTGATCTAGTCACTTCCTAGTGTCCACGTTCCTAACACCATCGCCATGCAGCTAAGGATTTCAGTACATGAATCTGTGGAACATGGCACCTTGCTGCAACCACTTCTCCTCACTAGTCCCTGGCCACCTCCTGTTGTGGCTCAGGTGACCCTGCCTCTTCTAAGGTGGGTGGGCAGAAAATAGGGCACAGTATAGTAACCTGGGGTGAAGAACTCTCTCACAACTGGTAGCACTCAGAGCACACCAAGACTTCACTTGACGTTCATAAAGATCACTACTATTTACAAACCCTTTGACGTTCTCACACAGGCATTTGCATACCAGGTTATCTTTACGAGGCTTCACTCCAGTCTGTATGTCACAGGGTACTTGACAGTTTATAAGATGCTTTGTCCTTCATAGACTGCCATGTAGTTTACCAAGTGCTGTGCTGTTTAGGTTGAGCTGGTCTGAGAGGAGGCCTAGAAACCCTTCCTAGTTCACAGGGCACTCAGCAGCTCCCACTGTGACTTATCAGGGATGTGGCAATTTACAAAGGACTTTGTCTCTCACAGATTTCACGACCATTTGCAAGGTTCTCTGTGGTTCACTGAGCACATTACAGTTTACACAGCATTCAGTTTATGGGGCCAAGACTGTTTTCCAAGCACTTTGGTCTCTGCAGAGTGCGGCCGTTTCTGACAGACTTTGACTGTCTCCTGTAAGAACAGCCCTAAAAAGGTTATGTTTCCGGGATGATTGGGATAAAGGAAGGTTGGATAGGGGAGCAGGGAAGCACATATCTTAATTAAGGGAGCCATCTTAGGGTTGGCAAGAGACTTGGACCTAGAGGGGCTCCCAGGTGCCCAAGGCGAGGTCCCCAGTTAGTTCCTGGGGCAGCTGAGGATAGGGAACCTGAAATGACCCTATCCTATAGCCATACTGATGAATATCTTGCATATCACCATAGAACCTTCATCTGGCGATGGATGGAGATAGAGACAGAGACCCACACTGGAGCACCAGACTGAGCTCCCAATGTCCCAATGAGGAGCAGAAGGAGGGAGAACATGAGCAAGGAAGTCAGGACCGCAATTGATGCACCTACCCACGGAGACAGTGGGGCTGATCTATTGGGAGCTCACCAAGGCCAGCTGGACTGTGACTGAAAAAGCATGGGATAAAACCGGACTCTCTGAATATGGCGGACAATGAGGGCTGATGAGACACCAAGGACAATGGCAGGGGGTTTTGACCCTACTTCATGTCCTGGCTTTGTGGGAGCCTAGCCAGTTTGGATGTTCACCTTCCTAGACCAGGATGGAGGGGGGAGGACTTTGGACTTTCCACAAGGCAGGGAACCCTGACTGCTCTTCAGACTGGAGAGGGAGGGGGAGAGGAGTGGGGGGAGGGGGAGAGGAGTGGGAGGCTGGGAGGAGGCGGAATTTTTTTTTCAATAATAATAAAAAAGGTTCTGCTCCATTCCTTCAGGACACGACTGAAAACAAAGGTCACAGTTGTACTGCGGCCTGGACTTATCCCCATTCAAAGCACATCCTTGTCCTTGCTGGCCCTCAGTTTCTCCTTCTGTAAAGTTTATGTGCTATGCCAAGAGCTCCTGGCTCAGGGTCAGGGTCCTGGGTTGCTTTTCTGGACACAGCTACCCACCCAGACTCTAGCAATACTGAGCAGAGAACTTGGAGCCTAGAGTTCCACACTCTTCTCCCTGATGACCATGCCATGTCCCACAGGCAGCAAACGGCCACAAGATGTCACGGGCACACTTGCAAGTGTTACACAATTGCATATTTTGCTGCCACAAAAGAAAAGAAGAAGAAACCTGACCAAAATTTCCCCCCCTGGGTTCCTGTAGCAACTAGGGACAGACTAATACTCTTTCTAATGTCCCTGTCTCTGCAGACAGTCTTCACAACCTGATTGTGAACTTTTAGCAACTTTTTGGAGGACTAAGGGCTCTTCTCCCTCCCTAAGCAGGTTTAACACCTCTTCCATGATTGGTCCTATTTTCCACTTTATTTGCATACCCACAATCAGGGTCCATCGGGTACCCAGTACATTTGGATGCTCTGGGGGATGAAGAGACAGAAGAAGTGTTGCTGGAACCGAGGGAGGAAGAAGAAAAGGAAGACTTCAGGTTGGGCCCCAGCCAGTTGCTCATCTTCACTGAAGGAAGGCTGCCCTCACTGAAGGCAGCCTTTAAGACAGGCAGGGGACAGAATCGTTCCTATGCAAGAAATTCATGTGAGCCAGCCTCCAGGACATGAGCAGTAGCTTCAGGAAGGAGCACTCATCTCTGCCTCAGCCTCCAAGATGCTATACTTTCACTGCAGATGAGAATTCGTTCCTGAGCTGCTTCCAGCCTTCACGACCTGCTGCTCTTTGCGTTCCTGTGGTTTGACCAGCAGATTTGTTCTGCAAGGGACTGCTCTACATTAATGCCCTGAAGCCCTCTAAGAATTTTTAAGCTGTTAAAACTTTCCAGAGCTGAAAGAGCTCTAAGAGGCTACCATCCTGCTAGCAAGAATTCAAACCGGATCCATTTAAGTTGTCAAAACCTGTGTACCAACCTGTTTAAAGTTGTTTTTTTTTCCCCATTTAAAGGTGTTAATCTCAAATTGGCACTAAAGCAATAAACCAACCTTCTATTGGTTGTCTTCACTGACTAGTCCACTTCATTCTTGATGAAAGGAAGGATAAGAACCCAGGTGGAGGGAGACAGGAAATGTTTCCACTAGCCATTTCACTGCTATATGTGGGGGGGGGGGAGGACTCATACACACACACACACTTCTGGGACTGCTGCAGGCTAAGTCCCTTTGTGCTTCCAGGGGACAAACTGTTTTCTCTGTTTGGTCTGCTCTCCCATCCCCTTAGCCTCCCTGGAAATCTCACACTGCCCTAACCTTGTCCCTCTTGTACCTAATCCTTACTGGAGTGAGCATGGCAGGGTAACACCTCTCTGCTCACAGACACAGGAAGTGGAGCCTGCAAACCACATGTGACCTCCCTTAGCTGTCCCCAACCCTAGAGAAGGAGGCAGGGGCTAAGTGTGAGTGTTGTGTGCAGGTGGACAGTTTCGTTTAGGGATGCTCATGTGAGGACCACATTCTACATGTCTTCCCACTGAGGCTGTCTGGCTACAGTTCTGCTGTGCCCTCCCACTAAGGACCCAGAGGCTTGGGTGAGGGAGCTGAACTCTGGGCCCACAGATAAATTTTCATATACCGTATCCTTTGTTACATAACTTTTCATAAACTATAAGGTGGCCACAAGCACAGTGGGGGAAATAATTAGACTCCTCCCTATTTGTTCAAACTGTAAACAAATTTGTCTTCTTTTGCTGTTTCCTAGTATCTTTTTGTTACAGGGATCTAAGGTACTGAGTTTATGGACATAAATGCCCAGTAAGACCCAACATATCTCTGGCACAGTAACTGTCAACAGCCCCTGAAACTCAGCTTTAACTCCCTGGACCTGCCAATGTCTGGTCTCCAGCCGCTCTACTCTCTTCTCTTGATGTTCTGAGTGATAGGCACTCAGAACACTCAGGATCTTCTGTCTGTCCTGCCTTATCCCCACAGGCTCATCATCTTCCAGCCAAAATATTGGGGTCACTTGGTGTGACCTTCATGGATTTTCCATGAATATATCCCCAACCTCAGGGAGAAGCAGACTAAAAAAAAAAAAAAACAAACCCCAACTCAGCTCCCTGGGGTAAACTGTAAACTGGCATCAAGACAGAAAGCTACAGCCAGGCATGGTGGTACATACCTTTAATCCCAGTACTTGGGAGACAGAGGCAGGTAGATAGATTTCTGAGCTTGAGGCTAGCCTGGTCTAAAGAACAAATTCCAGGACAGTCAGGGCTACACAGAGAAACCCTGCCTTGAAAAACCAACCAACCAACCAAACAAACAAACAAACAAACAAAAAGATGGAAAATTGGCATGGGGGACTTAACTTGGTGCTATAGGGGTGCGCCACAGGTAGCTTAAGTCTGCGTACAGATATTACAGATGACATTATCCTGGATTTCATCATTGTTTACCACTTATAGAGCTTGTTAACAAATACTCTTTTTGTGAAATCCTTACAGTCCTGCAAGACTGAGTATTATCTTCATTGTAAAGGCAAAGAGTTAAAGATTTGGGAGTCCACCTGATCAGCTCACCTGACAGTCACCCAGATGATGCAAGGCAAAGGTGGGGCTCTAACCTTGTCTTAGGACACCCAACCTAGCAAGTTTCTCAGGAACCTGCACTGGTGGAGCACAATGAATCCGGAACCTGCCAGTCTTCCTCGAATGCAGCCTTTAGCATAAAGCCCAGGCTCCTCCTGGACTAGACTAGAGTGTCCTGAGCTCAGACTACCCTCTGCCACACACCAGAACCAGCCTGGAGATGCTTAGTAGGTGGCAGCACCTTAGTTGGATGCTGATACCTAAGCCTATTCCATCAATGACTGCCTGTGTTTATGGGGTCCATCTGGCAATCCAATAGAAGCCAAGGTGAATGTACACAAAGGTTGGACCTGATGGGTGTTGACTGAACCTCCTGCCCACCCCAGACATATTAACACTATCTCCATCTGAGCAGGACATTGTGCAAACAAGCAGTGCCTTCTTTTCTCCATACAGCCCTTTCTCCAAACTTGCGACTCAAAGAGACAAACAGTACAACCTTGTTCACCTCTTCCTGCCTTTTCTTCCTCTTCCCCTGTGCACCTACAAAACCCTTTACTCAGGGGACTGTAGGAAGAGACTGAACTCTACTTTCCTGGCTCTGGCTCTCCCCCACCTCACTCCTTTGGGACTACCTGCCTTCCCACCCATGGCCTTCCCATAACCCTAGTCCCCTGCCCCATTATCCCATCCTGTGTGATGCCTTATCCAGTTTTACTTGAATTTGTAGTTGTCTGGCAAGAAGTAGCCCATCTTGCAATCCTGTCGAGCCCGGAAGATCTGTTTCAGTAGATTCTGCTTACTGAAGCCATAGCCATTTAGGAGACAGCCCCCAAAAAGGAGCTTCCCCCCAGCAAACATCTGTTGGAAGACAGGAAAGAAATGAAGTAAGAAACACTTCAGTGTATCAACATAGTGGCATGACCGATAATGACAGCCAAGTTTCAAGTCTTAGTAGGCCTGGCCACAGGTCCCTCAGAGCTGGGATAGGACTCAGGCCTTTGAGAGCATGGGAAAGTGTGCTACCCTCCCTCAGCAACCCAGGGAGACATGATTGAGCCTAGCCCCTGCAAGGCCCTCCAGAGTCAGAGGGCAGCCCAACCTGCCCAGTTTTTGACCCCTACTGGGGGCCTGTCAGATGTACACTTCATACTTTCAAGACTCCTACCCACCTACCTAGAGCTGTGTAGCCCCTTCTGCTCCAAACCTGCATAATAGGATGTAGCATTCAGCTCATTTTATGGAATGGAGGTCTCATACCCTCTACTCCATTCTTCACCATGGACATCTGTCTAGAGATGGTTAGGCGGGGGTATTCATCATACCATTATTATGGGAAAGAGAAAAACAGGAAGAAGAAAGAGAAGGAAAGAACCCAACTAACTGTCCAACAAAAGCAGCATGGGTAGTGATAAGACTCACCCAGTGGTAAAAATGCTGGTGCTACAAACTGAAGATGTGGGATGGTGCTCTGTTATCTTATTGGAAAGATGGTGCCCTAAAATATGTGTGTGGAGAAAGACAGCGAAGGCCAGATACTACAGTGTTAGGTGGATGTGGCCTAGCAGGGGCTCCAGAACCTAGGTGCTGGATAGATGAGCAATATCTTGGATGGTAGGAAGGTGTCATTATTTTCTAGCGGGCTGGAGAGATGGCTCAGGCGTAAAAGGCTAGGCTCACAACCAAAAATATTTTCTAGATTGTATACCCTATTTTCAATAAACATAAAAAGTTTTATATTTTAGTATAATTTAGTAAGAATCAGATGAATAGAATTTGATTTTCTGTGTTAATGTCACCCAACCCCTCCATCTCCTAGGATAGGGATGGGAGTCTATTGGGTGACTGTCAGGAAGTCCTGTTCTCTGGGCCTCAGTGTGGGTGGGAGAAGATTGCTTTATCCCCCATCCCCCACACAGCTAAGACAGTAGTGGTTGGTGATGGATGTCTAGCCCTTTGCAGGGCCCCTGCTCACCAAAACCATCCCGTGCACCACAGCAAACTTCTTCACCATTAGGGGTGGATCCTTCTGCAGGGGGCTGTCTATGTCATACCGCAGCAGACGATAAGGATCAAGCCGGCACTGCCAAATAGAGATGTGGGAACTGGTCACAGTGATGCAAGAAGACATTCGTTAACTTCCCTGAAGCCATCACTGTCCTCAGAGGAGGTCTCCAGATCTGCTCTGAGCCCCCTGTGGAAGACATCATCACTAGAGTGACCCTCCTGCATGTGGCAGCACTAGGTTTGCCCTGGGATCTGTGGACTATGATGTCCCTCACTCTGGAATGGGAGTCCTGCCCTAAGTGGACCAGATTTAGAAAGCTATGTTGCACAGCTCAGAGGAACTTTTCACCCCACCTCTCTCTAGCTGCCCCTCTTGACCCCTTTGTGGTATTCAGCCAGCCGTTGTGGGATGAGAGTATTAATGACCAGTTATTAGCCAGGGCAGAAGTCCAGTCTCCGTAAAGACCAACACTACCCTCCATGCCTATCCACAGACTCACCGCCATTCCTTCCACCCCTTCCAACTACTTCAGGTTAGATCTTGGCCCCATTCACACTGCTTGTGGCTGGAATAAGACACCTGAGCATTTTATTCCTTAGTGAACAATTAATAGCCCCCAGGTGAACTACAGCCAACTGTACATTGCCATGAGGAAACAGGTGGCCCCAGAGCAGGTTCTCAGTGAACATTCTCTAAATTGAAGTAAGCTGGAAAATAATGCATGAAATAAATGTGGCTCTGTTGCAGGGCTGGGTGCAAGGCTGTGGCTGGCTGCTTTCTTGAAAAGAGTCAAGAGAAGGGCCCTGGTGGGGAAGGGCCCTAAATGCTGAGCTCCTGGAACAGGCTGGCAGGCAGCACTCCTAGAAAGAAAGGTTAAGAAGGAATATTCAGGCAGACCCCTACCCCAAGTTTCCCACACAAATTCAGAACGCTGCAGCAGCAGGGTAGGACTGGGGGGTAGGGTGCTGGGAGTAGGGCAGGGATAATGCAGCAGGCTTTAGAGGAAAGACAGTTTAGAAGAAGTCATTTAGCTCACATGTCCACATGAGTCTGGGGGCTTCTCCAACACCATTTTAAATGAAGGCACACTCATGAAAAGGTCCTGTCATGGCCCTTTCAAAGACCTTCTGTAGCTGCAGTCATACTGAGAATTCCTTCAGGGACTGGCTCATGCTGAACCAGCAATAGGTGCCCAGAGCCTGGCACAAGTCCAGCATATGGAGGGACTTGGGGACAGTCCACCAACATATACTGTACTGAACTGTAAGAACATGGGTAGTGGGCACTGTCTTTGCCCTGAACAGTCACACCAGTTGTGGACACAAACTGTGCTAAGTGCTCTGAAAGAAAAGGACTGTGTCTTGACCTTGTCTCAAAAGTTAGAAGAAGCACCTGCTCTGATGTGGTGACATTCATCCTGGTAGAGAAGAATGAGTAGAAGAGAGAAGATGGGACAAAATGCTGCAGACAGAAAGGGGAGTGTATGCCAAGGCCCAGGAAAGAAAAGGAACTGTCAGACACCCAACCCATCCTCATACAGTGGGGGTTACATTTGGTCCTTCTCTCTGTCCCTGGCCCAAGCGTCTTCTCACTGGATCCTGAACCAACCTGGGTGCAGGGTGACGAACGGCCCTGCTGCCGAAGGCTATACAGTGTGTCCAGCAGCCATTGCAACTGTGCAGTATTGTTGGGATTCTGGCTTGACATTATTCCGAATACCAGCACTTGGTTGGGGTCTCGGGGTGCAGACAGGAAGCGCTCTAGTTCCAAGTCAGACACCAGGGGTGCCTTCACAATACACTTGCAGCCAGCCCGAATGTCTTCCTTGCGAATGAGCCTCCGCAGCACCAGTGGGCAGTCATAGGGTGAGGCGGCCCATCTGGTGGGACTACGTACTTCTCCCGGCTTCCCTCTACAAAGGGGAACACAGTGATAGGAGCATGTGAGCAGGCTTCAACCTATGACCCTACAGTTCTTGTTTCTAGATAGAGAGAGGTCCACTGCAGTGCCAGGGCTGTAGGCAGATCCTGGGTCAGGCCCTCAGAGGAGGGACCCCTAACCACGCCAGGCCTCAGTTTCCTCATGTGCAAAAGGAGGCATAAGAAGTTATTCAACTGACATTTCAGTCATCCATGATTCTCTCTCCACACCCCACATTTTACCAATCCCATCTATAAGTCTCTTCCCCAGTTTGACAGATCCATATTTGTTGTAAAATATTATTTTAAGATGTGTTACGTTTGTTTATGATGTGAAACATTTGTTTAATGATGCAAAGATGTGTTGCATTCTTTTATGTTGCATTTGTTTAGCTCTGTGAAGCTGTGATACTTTGCCTGTCTAAAACACCTGATGGTCTAATAAAGAGCTGAAGGGCCAATAGCGAGGCAGAAAAAAAGGAAAGGCAGGACTGGCAGGCAGACAGAATAAACAGGAGGAGAAATCTTTGAGAAGTGTAGGAGGAGCAAGAGAACAAGGAGGAAAGATGGGGACTAGCCACACAGCCAGACATGGAATAAGAAGGAAAGAAAAGATATAGAGAAATAGAAAAAGGTAAAAGTCCAGAGGCAAAAGGTAGATGGCATAATTTAAGAACAGCTGGCGAAATAAGTCAAGCTTAGGCCAGACATTTATAAGTAATAATAAGCCTCTGTGTGTATTTGGGTGCTGGGTGGCAAGCCCCCAAAAGGGCCAAAGAATAAAATGTAATAAAACAACCAATTACACAGAATCTAACTGCCCTCCACTACCCCTAACATAGGCCAGCCTCCAATCATTTTTTAAGTAGTTCCTAGGGGTTTACACTTTCCTCCCTGATCTCTCTTAGATCCACTTAGGGATTCCGTCGGAATCTGAATCATTCTCTGGAACCCTTCCTGGGCTTTCTAGCTTAGTTTTAGATAAGGCAGCAGCTGTATCAGATCTAGCTCCTGTTTCTCATTCCCCTCAAGCCCCTCCTACTCCCCAGTACTCTCACCATGCTCCCCAGGTAGTCTCGCATGGCCAAACTGACTTCCGCCTTTGCTTGTTCCCTCTCATCACCTTTACATCTATTGAAATGTTGCCTTCCTGTTGACTTTCTAAGCACCCCATTGAATGTTTCCATCTCAACACTCTTTCATGCCTATTTTATTTCTCTCAAGCATTGCTTACTTTTTTTCATTGCTTACTTTTAAAGCAATTTTTATTATTATACTTTTCTATTCCACTACACGTACCAAGAGATTAGCTACCTGCAGTATTTCGATTGGTGGAATACAATAGGAACACGTGGCAAATCAAAGATGCAATAGAAATTCAGTCAACACTTCAGCATTTATCAGCGACCTGCTATAGCAGCATGGTGCTTAGTCTAAATAAGCACCAGTAGATGTAAAGTACTCCTTTTTTTTTACTCCTTTCATTATTGCCATCTTACACATTTAATATTTTACAGGCTCTATGGCCCTTGAATAGGCATTTCCATGGTTAATTTTGTAGAAACCCCACAGGATAGGCAGGACAGAAACTGCTATTACCATTTACAGGTCAAAATACAGTAGGCTCCCTCCCATGGGTTGCCCAAGCTCAATGAAGTCTTTAAATTAGCAAGGCCTCAGGCAAATCAGAATCAAGTCATCCTAAAATAAGAGCAATACCATGATTCATTACTTGTTAAGTTTGTTTTACATATATTCATTTTATTTCATGTGTATTTTCCTTGTATGTAAGTGTGTGCACAGTCCACAGAAGAGGCCATCAGATCACCTGAAACTGGAGGTTCAGATGATGTGAACTGCCATATGAGTACTAGGACTGGAGCCTGGGTCTGCTACAAGAGCAACAGCACTCTTAACTGATGAGCCATCTCTCCAGCCACTTCTTTATTTTTCAAGAAAGGGTTTCTCTGTGTTACAGCCCAGGTTGTCCTGACTTCTCTTATTTTTCTGACAGCATCTTGCCAGGTATCCCAGGCTGGCTTTGAACTTACAGCAATCCTTCCGCCTCAGCCTCCTTTGTGCTGCGATTATACCCATACACTATCATACCTAGTTTTACAATTTAAAATTCTTCAGAGGAAATTTAAATTCACTGACCAAAGCTAGTAAGTGAATCTGTTTGTGGAAGAGGGGTGGAGCACAGTGATGGAGCACACATTTAGTATATGTGAGGTCCTGAATTTGACCCACAACACCAAATAAATAATAAAAATAAAGTAGAGTATCTCTTGTTTACGAACCTAAACATCCATGGGGAATCTTGAATATATTCACCATAATTTATACCAGAGATATTCAAAGTGATTAATGCTTTTAATGTGGGAGAATTTGACTTTATAATTTCTTACAATTTGTAATAGTGAAAATAGAACAAATTATTCTGCAATTTTGGAGCAAGGAAGCCTTTTGCAACCAATTTAAAAGTCCAGAACTCAAACTGGGTATGGTGATGCAGATTTGTAATCCCAATTCTTGGGGGATAGAGGAAGGAGGACCAAAAGTTCAAGGTTATTCTCAACTACGTAGGGAGTTCTAGGCCTAGCCTGGGCTAGAAACCCTGTTTCAAATGATCAAACAAAGCAAAGAGAAAAGACCTTTGGGGTAAAAGTACAACATGCAAAGAAGAAACTGAGGCAGGAACTCCTTCCCCAGCTATAGCGAGTAGTAGGTTGCTATGTGAAGGCCCAGGAGTGTATTAGAAAAGCCAACATTTGGGGCTGGACAGATAGCTCAGTGAGTGAAGTGCTCATTGTGAAAGCATAAGACCTAAGAGTTTGTGTTCCTAGCACACACGTAAAAAGCTGGGCATAGCAGGGCACATAGATAACTCCAGTGCTGGAGGTGGGTAGAGATAGACAGATCTTGCTGGCTAGCCAGTCTAGCTGAACTACAAACTACAAGTTTAGTGAGAAACCTTTTCTCAGAAAGTAAGGTGAACAATGATAGAGGAAGACACTGAAGTCAATTTACATTGGCCTCCACATGTACTGGCTTCCACATGTATACTCATAGATAAGTATACATCCACATATAGCACACACACACACATCCACAGACACACACACACACACACACACATTAACATCTGATGAAATGAGGACAGAGTGATGAACAATGAGTTCAGAATGAGTTCTTAAAACTTTGGAAACAGAGAAGTCACCAAAATTAGCAGGGTAGAACATCAAAACTATTCTTCCACTAGAGGTGGCAACAAAGTTGGGGAAAGAGAGAGGGAGAGAGGGAGACTGGGCAAGTATCTACGCAGACAAACTGACCAAGACCAATCAAAACGAACTTAAGTAAAGCTCAGGAACCAGAAACTGCCAAGCGTTGGGGCAAGGAAGCTGGTATTTCTCTGCCACTCCTATTCCTAACTTTTGTGCTGTTATAAGGTGGGCAATGTGGGCTCAGGCTCAAAGAATTGTGGCCGGGTGGCTGGCTGACTGGGTTCCCTAAGGGATTAGCTCAGGACCTGCCTTGAGCAGCCCCAGCAAAAAAATTGTTGAAAGCACTTGTCATAGTCAATTTTATCTATCAACTTGACACCAGAGAAGAGAAAGCCTCAGAATAGCCTGAGCACGTCTGTGGGGATTTTTCTTTTTTGCTAATTTGATGTGGGTGAGCCCAGCCCATGGTGGCTGGTGCCATCTCTAGGCAAGTTGTTTTGGGTTGCCTATGAGAGGCAACTGAGTAAGCCAAGGGAAACAAGTCAGTAAGCAAGGTCCCTCCATGGTATCTGCTTCTGTTCCTGTCTTTCTTCAGAAATGAACTATAACCTGTATGCCAAATAAATCCTTTCCTCCCTATGGAGGTTTGAAGGAAAATAGCTTCCACATGGAGTGGCACTATTGGGAGGTGTGACTTTGTTGGAGTAGATGTGGCTTTATTGGAGAAAGTGTGTCACTGTGTGTGTGGGAGGGATGCTTTGAGATCTCCTGTGCTCAAGCTACACTCAGTGTGTTACACAGTTCACTTCCTATTTCCTGTGGATCGAGATGTAGAACTCTCAGCTCCTTCTCCAGCACCATGTCTGCCTGCATGCAGCCATGTCCTGTCATGATGATAATGGACTAAACGTCTAAAACTGTAAGCCACCCAATTAAATGTTTTCCTTTATATGAGTTACTATGGTCATGGTGTTTCTTCACCGCAATAGAACCCCTGACTAAGACACTCCCCCAGTTTTATTTTGGTCAGTGCTTATTACAACAACAATGAGAGTTAACTAGAACACATGCAAAGGCAAAAAAATATCAGACATTACTTCTTGTGCAAAGGAAGACACATGGGCATAGACAAAAAAGAAAAAGGAAAAAAAAAAGCCCCATTAGGAAAAAAAAAAGATGAAGGAAGGAGGTAGATGGCAAAATGAAGGCTTTAAAGCTTCTCAAGTACACTGGAGGATCGAGGTGTCAGGTTGGGAAAGATCCAAGAACATCCTCATCTTTCACCTCTGGAGCTATGCAAGTATAGAGTGATAAAGTTAATACACAGTTGTGGATGCCCTGGGCAAAGGCTGAAAGGAGTAATGCCCCAACACAGAGCTATCCGCAACAGCAAAAATGTTCTGGGCCTTAGCTTCAGGGACTCTCAGGTTAAATCACTAGCTGAACACCAGTAACTGTGAGCAACAAAGGACACTGCCCTTGCAAAAAGAGTTTGTAAAAGTTATTAAACAAACAAATCCAACACAAGGAACCCTAGGAGAAAAGAGTTGGCCTTCAATGGCTACTATATTTAAAATGATCAGTTTTCAAGAAAAGGTTATAAGGAATATACAAAAAACACTAAGAAGAAATTGCTCCTTAGGAAACATAGATACTAGACTTCCTAGAAAAGGGGCTTAAGTTAACTTTTAGAGATACTCAAAGCAAACCAAGGAACAAGAACCAAGGCACCCAGAAGAACAGTGTCTCATCAAACATAGGAAATC